GGCCCTTCCCATTCCCCTCACATTTGGTCTTTCCTCTTTGCATCCTCATTAAACATGTGGGGACACTCCCCGACTCCCTTCCCGCCACTGGCTCTGCTCTTCCTCTCTTGGGGTTTGTCTTCTTCAACGAGTTATCTGTGCTTCCTTCTCTACTCACCCCTCACTGCGCCCGCAGCCCACTGCAGCCTGCCTTCTGCTCTCACTAACAATGTCTAAGCAGCACTTACAATTTTCTTACCTAAATTGGTTCTTACTTGTGCTAAGTAAATAAATACCAGGCATTATCTTTGATTTCTCTTTCCCTCCCTCCCTCCCAATCAGTCACCAGTATTAATTCCCTTTCCTTAAATAACTCCTTGGATTCTCCCACTCCTTTCTGTTCCCACTGCCACCACCTCAGCCTAATCACCATCAGCCCTCCTCCAGTGATGCAGTGGCCTCGTAACAGATTTTGCCCTGTGTGATTTCCTCAGCCAATCTGCCAAACCTGCCAATCAACTTACTCTCCTGCTTAAAAACCTTCAGTGGCTCATAGTGTTCTCATCCCAGCACAAAAAGCCTTCAGAATTTGGCCTGTTTACCTTTTCACCTTCCTCTCTTGCCAGTCCCCCCTTTAAATTTCTCCTTAAGTCACATTGAACTTACAGTTTCTGAATTTGCCATGTTTTCTCTTGCACTCATATATATTATTTTATCTACTTAATAATCACTGGGTTTAGGAGAACCACCCAAATGACCCAAAGACTCATGGAAATAATAACTGGTCATTGTTTTAATTCAAGTTCGGCTGGTTTGTTTTGTATTAAGAATAAACTGATGCAAGGGAATGTCTCTTTTAGTTGCAAACATTAAGTTACTAAAATAATTACTGTATTCTATAAAACAGATATTCTCATAACATGTTAGATATATTTTTGAGCATAGTAAACTTTACATTTCATAGGTTTTGTTCTCAGAGATAAACAGTACATAGATGCACATATAGTATGTAGTTTTACGGTCTGCAGTTAAATGAAAATAGTCCATTGTTCCTTCATTTCTTACTTAAAAAAAATCTTTAAATGAACATAAATACTTGTATTTTACCTTCGAAATTCTCTGTAATGAAGTTTTTTTTCTCCTCTTTTTCCAAAGAAACGTATCTGAAGGGTTGTATTAATTTCAGGTTCTTTCACTGTTGATTTCTATTAAAAAAATGACACAATTAACTTCAAGTAATTATAATAACTAAAAATGGATCCTGCAGCCTGGAACTCCTAGGACATATTCATAAAAGATTCTTTAACAAGAATAAAGGTGGAGAAAAGAGATGTAACCATTCTGTTACTTTGCATTAACACTATGCTACAATCACCCTTGCTCAAGCAGGAGAAAAATAACGAGGGCTAAAATACTCCATATACTCAAGGTAAACTTCAGCAGTAGAAAGAATCTTAGGCCAAAAAGAGAGCTTAGAATGGTGAAATAAATGTTATTTATTTCATATAATTATTTTATCACAATAATGTTATGATCTCTCAGCATTTTCCAATGAAGCAGGACTGAGAAAATCAAAAGCAGGAAAGTCTTTGAGCTTCTGCTGAATGTTAGAACTACTCGAAAACACTTGCTTCTCCTAATTATAAAATTAATAGGTGAGAATTCCATTAATGGATAAAGCAGATTCAGATTCTTCCTCCTTCAAATAAAGTAACAATAAAAATAGTAACAGAATGGCTAAAAAGATTATCAGCAGCAATTAAGCAACAAAATGGAGTATAAATATAAACCAAATATTTTGAAAAACACTGGTTAAAGAAACTAGACTGAGGTATTGGATGGCCTAGCATGTCTCCTCATCCTACCCCAACCCTTTATATCTAAAATATAGCATTAGCAGGTGAGATTATGCCACTATTAGAACTTGAGTAAAACCTTCAATTTAGTGACAAGTAGACTAAGTGGGTGAGAAGACAGCCCTGGGGCAAGTCATGGGAAATCTCAGAAGATCCTTTACAGCCCGATGGGACGTATGCAGAGACAGTGAGGGTTTTTCCAAGGCCTACCTAGAATCTTTCAGGGCACAATGTTATATTGAGGGGATAATGAGAAGCCCACAGAGTGGGATACACCTTGGAGGGGTGGGGTGGTCTGTGGTCTAGAACATTTAATGGGATCACAGAAGAGTGAACAGAATAGGTCTTCCAGTAAGGGCTGTGTTTAGCCCTTTCCTCTTTCCTCTAAAGAACAGTGGATCAGAATGGAGCATCTACAACTCAGAAGGAAAAAAGATGAATTAGTTCCAGGTAAGGTTGGAAGAGTACTAAGGAAAATTTCATTTATGCTCCAGCAGGGCAAAGAGAAGACCTGGACAGACCAAGAGTATGAGCACAAGAAATGGCATAACAGCTACACAAAGGCACTGTAGCAAGAGGTAGAAAAAAGCAAATCAGGCAAAAGATACAATAGGCACAGTGTAGAAGAACACATAATCCAAGAAACAAATGTGTATCCCCAAGAATACTTTAAATTTTTTGTATTTTGAGGTAATCATAGATGCACATGCAACTGTAAGAATACAGAACCATCTCTTGTAACATTTACTCAGCTTCCTCCAAGGCTGACATCTTGCAGAACACAATGTTACCACCCATATTGCCAACATATAGAACATTTCCTCCAATGCAGGGGTCCTTCTTGATGCTCTTCCAGCTACACTGAGTTCCCTCCTGCCCCCACCTTCTCTCTGACCTCTGGCAACCATGAATCAACTCCTTTTCTGTAATTGTGTCATCTCCGAGTGTTAGATAAGAAGAATCATACAGCATGTAATTTTGTGGCACTGGCACTTTTCATTCAGTGTAATTCCCTAGATATCAATCCAGTTTGTTGCTGTATCAATAGTTCGTTCCTTTTTATTGCAGATTAGCATTTCAATGTATGGGTCACTATAGTTTACCTGCTGAAGGACACCTGGGTTGTTTCCAGTTTTTGGCTATTACAAATAAACCTGCTAAAACTATTCATGGACAGGTTTTTGTGTGAACATAGTTTTTCATTTCTCTGGGATGGATGCCAGGAGTACGCTTACTGTTTCAGCAGAGCCCAGTATCCTTTTACATTCCTACCGGAATGGATGAGTGCTCTAGTTTCTCTGCACCCTTGCAGTCACTCGGTACTGTTAGCCTTTTAGTCACTCAGAGGTGTACTGTGACATCTCATTCTGGTTTTAATTTGCATTCCCCTCATGATTACAGATGCTGAGCATCTTTTCACATGCTTGTTGGCTATTTGTATATCTTCTTTGGGAAAATGTCTATTCAAGCTGCTCTGTCCAGTTGGGTTGTCTTTTCTTACTGAGTTCTAGGCATTCTTTATATATCCTAGTATTAGACCCCTATAAGGATTATGCAAATATCTTCTCCCATTCTGAGTTTGTTTTATCACTTTATGGCATTGTCCTTTGATAAACAAACGTTAAAATATTTTTTTAATTGAAGTATACTTGACATACAATATTATACTGGTTTCAGGTGTGCAACGTAGTAATTTGACAATTAGACACATTAAGAAATGTTCATGGGTACAGTGTAGTTACCATCTATCACCATACAATTATTACAATATTGACTATATTCCCTATACTGTACTTTTCATCCCCATGACTTATTTATTTTGTAATTGGAATTTTATACCTAAGTATCCTCCACCTATTTCACCCATTCCCCAATCCATATCCTCTATGGCAACACACCATATACAGTTCTGTCTTTATGAGTCTATTTCCATTTTTTTTTAAGATTCCACATATAAGTAAAATCATACACTTTCTTTCTGTCTGAAAATACCTTCTAGGTCCATGTATGTTGCTGCGAATGGCAAATTTTCATTCTTTTTCACAGCAAGTAATATTCCATTGTGTATATATGACATCTTCTTTATACATTTACCTATCAACAGACACTTCCATATCTTGTCTACTGAATATGCGGGTGCACTTATCGAAAAGTTAGTATTTTTGTGTTCTTTGGGTAAATACCTAGAAGTGGAATTACTGGATCATACAGTAGTTCATTTTTAATTTTTGTGGAACCTCTAACGGTTTTTTGGTGGAGTCTTTAGAGTGTTCTATATGTACAGTACCATGTCATTTGCCAATAGAAACAGATTTACTACTTTCTGAAACTTGGATGCATTTTATTCCTTTTTTTTCCCTAGTTGGTTTGCCTAGGACTTCCAATACTACATTCAGTAAGAGTAGTGAGAATGGACATCCTTGTCTCATTCCGGATCTTACCTGTTGCGTATAATGTTTACTGTGGGCTTGTCAATATATGGCCTTTATTATGTTGAAGTATGTATGTTTCCTCTCTACCCATTTTGTTGAGAGCTTTTATAATAAATATGGATGTTGAATTTGCCAAATGCTTTTTCTATGTCTATTGAGATGATCATATGATTTTTTATCTTTCATTTTGTTAATGTGATGTATCACTCTGATGTGCAGATGTCCTTGCATCTCTGGAATAAATCCCACTGATGATGGTGTATTGTTTTTCATGTATTGTTTAATTTGGTTTGCTAATATTTTGTGGAGGATTTTTGCACCTATGTTCATCAGGGATATTGGCCTGTAATTTTTTTTGTGGTGCCATCATCTGGTTTGGTATCAGAGTAATAATGCTGGTCTTATAAAATTAACTTGGCATCATTCCCTTCTCTTCAGTTTTTTCGAAGTGTTTGAGAGAGATAGGTTACTAGACCCTCCTTTGAATGTCTGGTAGAATTCACCAGGGAAGCTGATTCTGGACTTTTCATTTGCTCTGAGGTTTTTGATTACTGACTCAATCTCTTTACTAGTAATTAGTCTATTCAGATTTCCTATTTCTTCATAATTTAGTCTTGGAAGACAGTATGTTTCTAAGAATTTAACCCTTTTATTCTAGATTGTCCCATTTGTTGGTGTATAACTAACTGTTCATTGTGTAATACAATCCTTTGTAATCCTGGAGTAATTTTTCTTTCAGTTCTATTTGAGTCCTCTCTTTTATTCCCAAGGCTTATTAATTTTGTTTAGCTTTTCAAAGAACCATTTTTTAGTTTTACTGATCTTTTGTATTGTCTTTTTAGTCTCTATTTCATTAATTTCCACTTTGATCTTTATTTCCTTCCATTAACTCTGGACTTGGTTCTTTTTTTTTAGTTTCTTTAGCTGTAAAGTTGAATTGGTGGAGATTTCTCTTGCTTCTTGAGGTAGGCCTGTATCACTATGAGCCTCTGTCTTAGATATGCCTTTGCTGCATTTCATAGATTTTGGTTATGTTGTACCTCTGTTTTCATTTGTTTCTAGGTATTTTATGATTTTTTTCTTTGATTTCTTCTATGACACTATGTTGTTCAGTAACATGACTTAAAAAAAAACTATACGTATTTGTAGTTTCTCCAGTTTTCTTGTTTCTTGCTTCCTATCACCGTGGTTGGAAAGATGATTGATATGAATCCAATCTTCTTGAATTTACTGAGACTTGTTTTGTGGCCTCATGCGATCTATCCTGGAGAATGTTCCACATGTTTGAGAAGAATGTGTATCCTGGTTTTAGATGGAAGTTCTACATACATCTATTAAGTCCATCTGGTCTAATATGTCATTTAAGGCTGCTTATTATTTTTTTGTCTGGATGAGCTATCCATTGATGTGAGTTGGTGTTAAAGTCCCCTATTCTTATTGCATTGCTTTTTCTCCCTTTAGGTCTGTTAATATCTGCTTTATGTATTTTGGTACTCCTATGCTGAGTGTATATATATATATATATATATATATATATGTTACATATTTTCTTGCTGGACTGACTCTTTATCATTGTGTAGTACCCATCTTTGTCTTTTATCTTAGTCTTTGTTTTAAAGTCTATTTTGTCTGATATGAATATAGCTACAGCAGCATTCTTTTTGGGCCCCTTTGCATGAAACATCACTTTCCAGCCCTTCTCTTACAGTTTGTGTGTCCTTAAATCTGTACTGTAATGAGTCTCTTATAGGCAGTATATAGATTATAGAGATTTATTGCTTTTAAATCCATTTAGCCACTCTGTCTTTTGATGGGAAAATTGAGTCCATTTACATTTAATACAAGTATTGACAGGTATTTACTTACTGCCACCTTGTGCAGTTTTCTGGCTGCTCATGCAGCTCCTTTCTGCCTTTC